GGAGGAGGAGGAGGTGGGTGTGTGTGTGTACGAGAGCTCCCCGACGTCCCATCCCGGGGCCGCGGCGTGTTTAAATCCAAAACGATTTTGGGATTGCTTGGTTTTAAACTGGGCATCCCTTACTTCAAGCTCTCGCAAAGATAGCAGAATAACAAGGTAAGAGCTCTGAACATCCCTACTCTGATTGTTTCTCTTTTTTTTTTACCCATTCATTTGGGCTTTGATGACAGGTTGCTTTTCAATGCACGTCCTGTGGGGCGCTCTTTTTTTAATATTGTTGGATAAAGAACAAAAAAATCCCACGTTATTTACTTTGCAGGGTAATTAATATCGGTGCCCCAAGTGGAAAAGTAGGGGTTAGAATCCGTGTGCTGGCAAAGGGCGAGGGAGGAGGAGTCCCACAAAGCCAAGAGAGACCAGACTTTTAGGTTAAGGATATTTTTTCTGTCCTCAGGTCAGACTTATTTCAGACTTCTATTTTCTTACTCCATTTTGCACAGAATTCAGTGACATAACCCTGTTTATGCTCAGAAAAATAATGCCGATTAAAAAGCACCATGGCCTGTTTGCCTGAACTCCCGCTTATCTTCTGAGCTAGCGAAAAAGACTTTATTTCCTTCACAGGGTTGTGCATCAACACGTCCACGGGTGACATTATCTGTCAACTCATTCAGTTGTGGTCCTTGGTCAGTTCACACTGGAGGTGTGTGGAAGGAATTTCTCCCCCTTTTTATTTGATCACTACATTTTAGCAGATGGCCCTTAAATAACAAACAATAGTGTTAGGACTTGCCATGAAATGTGTGTTTGTGGAATGGCATGGGCAGAAATTGATGGAAAAAAGGAGAACGATAGAGAAAAAACAGAAATAACACTAGGAGGCAAGGCTTATGAAAAGGCTGTCCTGCTTTCTTCTTTAAGCATTTAGATTTACAAGTAGGAAGGTCTTAATTTCAGAAAACAGCATTTCCTCCCCCCCCGTCCCCCCCCCGTTTTTAATGTTTTCTTAAGAAGCAGGAATATTCGAATGGCTTTTGACAGTACGATAATTGAAATCTGGTGCTTAGTTTAAATATGTTTATCTGCAAAGCGGGCAGGAAAAAATTAGCAGTTGCTTTAACACAAATTATTTGGATTCTTGCATGCCAGGCTCAACTGAATATTTTAAAATTATAAGTGAAGGGATTTCTTAAAATACTGAGGAAAACTTCTTGATTTTCAAGGCAGCTTTTTTTTAGTATGAATTGTTTCTCAGTTGCTGTTGGAATATAAATTACCATTAAGAAGAGATGAACTGCACTTAATTTTGATATATGTTTTCCCCGTATTTACTTTTTTTTCCCTCTTTATGAAAAAATATATACTGATTGATACATTTTATTCTTCTGCTGTGGAACTAAAATACACCACTCACATTTAGTTTGAGTTGCAAATATTGGGCTAGAATCTCACAGTGTTTAGTCAGGCAAACCCCAAATGGACTGCAGAACTGGGTCCATTATTTCCTGAGAGCAGCAAAGGAAATAGCAGACTCGTAGGAAATGTAAAAGAAAAGAATGAAAATCAAATCTTTATCACCCATCCCAGCTATCGGTGAACTACATTAGCTTTTATGACTAATGGATAAAATCAATTATATCAGCAGCCTCAACCTTGCTTTCCCATAAAAACAGAAATACCACACACTACTTCTTTAACATTTTTGCAAATTCAAGGGTATGTTGTACCCCCCACTTTCTCTAGGAGAATGTTCTACCATAGATAAGCCTTAAAACCACTAGTCAGACAGCAGCCTTAAGTTATTAACTGACCAGAAACATGCTTCAAAGGCCCAGAGTTGAGCAAGCAAAATTGATGTTTGCAAGTCCTAAGTAGCAAACACTGTGATTCAAGTCATTCTCTGACATGTACTGCAGATGCTGTTTCTTTTAAATGAAATGTGATTTTTAATATTATGCATTTGATGATAGTCTCATTTACCCTTCATGAAAATTTTACGGCATGGTTGCATACAGAGACAGGTTTAGAGCCATAAACTGTTTTCATTCTGTTTATCTAATTCTCATTGACACCTATGTATATTAAGCAGCAGATGTAGGGCAGCTTGAGGTGGATTCTTCTTTCCCTGACACTGGTATAAATTGGAGTTGCTCCCATGGCTAGATGAGAGCAGGCTCCGTAATACCTAATGCTTAGTCGATCCCTGATGCATATTTCTTGCTGAAAGGTAAAGACACGAGGCTAACATATGTCCCCTGTCCAGGCAAGAATGGGAGTCGGGTGTCTAACTGAGCTCCGTGAAATGTGGGAAAGCTTCTAGGAAAGAAGTTCCTGAGGGCCTGGGCTTGTTGTTAATGTTCCCCTTTGCCCTTGCAGATATGCCCTGTGTGCAAGCGCAGTATAGTCCTTCACCGCCCGGTTCAAATTATGCAGCTCAGACCTACGCGTATGGCTCGGAGTACAGCTCAGAGATCATGAACCCTGACTATGCCAAGCTGACCATGGACCTGAGCAGTACTGAAATCACTGCCACTGCCACCACATCCCTGCCCAGCTTCAGCACCTTTATGGAGGGTTACTCTGGCAGCTACGAGCTCAAGCCTTCCTGCCTCTACCAAATGCAATCTGCCTCCTCTGGCCAGAGGCCCCTCATAAAGATGGAAGACACCCGCCTCTCCCCCTATCAGCCCTCACTGCCGCCCTCCACGGATGAGGGGATGCCCAGCACTTCCATGTACTTCAAGC